ATACCAATGTAACAACCCGGTCATTAATTAATATTTAATTACTAATTTATTCTATTAAAAGACCATTATACCCCTAGAATATTTTATTAGTTTAAAAGTTGACTTTTTGACCGGGAAGGAATTTGAGGATTTCAGATATACCGTTGCGTAGAGCGCGACGAAACGAGTCCGTAGACACATAGTGGACTCGAATCGGAGTTGTAACAAAGGAGTTACGATCAAAAGAAGTTCAGTCGCATAACCGTAAATATTTCGAAGTTGAGTTCTTAAAAACCCAGATTTCTCCTATGTCGGCAGCTGTACCAGCTGACTTCAAAATGTGATATCTCTCAGCTCCGACCACCAAATCGAGCAAGACCAGTGCCAAACGAACCACCTCACTCCCCTCTTTCAGTCTCAACCCATCCCAACTGTGATCTGTAGGTGTGGTCGCCGGAATCAGCCACGAAACCGGCGGTGGTGACAGTTTTTTTTAGTAAACTTTCGGGAGCTTGTTTGGACGCCTTCGGCCACCAAATCAGACGAGTGAGGTATGGTTTTCTAGCTATTTTTCATGCTCTAGCTGCTGGTTGGGTAGGATTTCAGATATTTCAAGCGTAGACCATTCGATTGTTTAAGTTAGGTTTCAGCAGATTTTCGGGTCACTGTTTCGGCCACTTCCGGCCCGTTTTTGGGATATGTCCAAGAATAAAAGTTGTTCCAAATGGGGTGTTTTACCAAATTTAAGAGTTTGGGCCGGCAGTTCGGAGTTTTTCCGGTCGCCAGAAATTGATCAAGCCACCCACATGCTGCCAGCGCATGTGGCGGCGCGTGGGCAGATTGGTGAAGACCACATTCAGTTTTAGAATGATCCTTGTGTCGTCATGAGTGCGTAGGATTTCGCGGATCTTAATTTGGTTAACGTTTGAACCCCTAACAGATCTCGCATCTTATGTGATTTCCGGGTTCAATAGTTTTGCACCATTGGATCGTAACCATTTTCAGATAGGTTAATCTAAACGTTCCCAGGATCGTATAGTATTTGACGGATCGTAAAACGGAGTCCCAGATACTCCAGAATGCCAACCCTAGAACCAGGTTTACAGTAAACCGTTCAGTTACATATCAGGAACAGAAGAAAGAACTACGTGTGGCTTGATCCCTCAGAAAGGGTACGTAGGCAGCCTACAGTTAGCAAGTGCAGCCACGAGTTGGAGTCCTCCAGTTTGTGTTATTGTTTATCAGGGTATTTTGGTCTTTTATTACCCACAGTCACCAAGTGTCAGTTTTAAACAGGATTCGGCCCGGATTTCAAAGTGGAATTTGGGTCGGGTCGTTTCAACCAATGTGATTGTGCAAATACGTGGTAGTATATGTGTTCACGTTATTTCATCTTGTATTTCAGGAAATTAGATCCAACGTGGAGCTGGTATGGCCAGCGTCAGAGGCATATTCCTCACGGGTGAACAACAGCTCACATGCAAATTCATCCCTAGCAGCAATTTGAGTGAAGTTGAGTGCCGAACAATTAGAAAAATTCAAGACATCATGCTTTGGCCATCTTCTGAATATAGATAAGATTCAATTTAGTGGGCATATTGTGCATGGGATTGTGTTGTGTAGAATAGCGGGGCAGGGTGTGAAAGACTTGGATGGACTGAGTTTCTTAATAGGGTGCGACGTTGCT